CAAAGCAGGCTGAGAAGTAGATCAAGTGACAAAATAAGTTGCTGGGATAGGCAGCTGTGGAATGAAGGTGTGCAGGGCTTCTGGTAGCTGCACAATTTGTTTTCTCAAGATATTCAGGCAGTTATAGCAGTAATCTGCAGTAAATAAAAAAAGGAGCATGGTCAGTATAAACTTCAGAGGAGGAAATATAAGGTTGCACACTGTTTCCTGTCAGTACTAAACAGTCGGGTGTTGTTGAGCAGCTGGCATGCAGCAGCATGTTAAGCTGTGGTGTCTTGTGGTATTTTGGATTAGGAATTAGTGAAATGTATGTAGAAGGAAGAAGGTGGTAGATCTATGACAGTATCAAGCTGTTACCCTTTTTCTTTTAAAAAAGGTCGTACAGATTTGGTAGAACAGTGAGAGGCTTGATCATGTAAGAAACAGAATGCTTCATGTTAATTCCTTAGTCCTATCTAGTCCTCTGACTTCTTCTACACAGATTGTTTGCCTGTAATGAGAAGGTTTAATTTGGTCTCAGAAGTGATTCAAAAAGGATATTTTTTCCATTTTCTTCTATTTTCTAACTAGGCATGAAAGGCAGTGTGCTTGGGGAAACTAAAACTACCTGTGAGATAAATCTTCCAATTTACATAACTATATAGACATGGTTATCCTCTGTCTATCCAACAGTGAGAATGTATGTCAGCAACAGTAGAGTATGGTATGTAAAATTCATTTGCAAGAACCTGAACATAAAGAACTTCCCCTGGTTCATTTGAGGAAGCAGCATATTTGCTCACAGACAGTAGTGCTTTGAGGACTCCCCATTTGGGTCCTATTTTAGGAGTGGTAGTTTGAGAATTTGGATTTTGCAAGAGGAAAAGATAATTGTATGTATTAACTTACACTGAGGAGGCATACTTGCCGGAGAAACTTCTTTTCTATTTTATGTAAGCTTTAACAGTGTTTGGGCATTGCAATTGATTTCGCAATACTATGGATGAATTGTGTGAAGGCAGGCTCGCACTAACGCAATTCTTTTCTGTCTGATGGGCAGAAATAAAAATTGTTATATAGTTAGTGTCTGGAATTTCTGTCTTAAGGCATTAGAGAGGACACTGAGGTGGATTTAATAAAGAGAAGTCAGTTTTCTACTGAAATTATCAGTAAATGTATTGGAAATTGTTTTATTTAACTTTGTTTCTAATTGACTGCTAGCTCTTTTGTTGTTCATTTTATAAAGTTATACATATTTATGTATCATTACCACTTATGTCATTAACAAGGTCAATGACAAAAACATAGTTTGTCCAATGCTGCTCAGATTTATTCTGATCTTTTTTCTTTGTCTGTCACTTTTATAAGAAAAGGAGAAAAGAAGTGAGCTGAAACCAGAGGACTCTCTCTGCTCCAGCACAATGGTTTAAACATTTTATACACTGAATAGAAACTGCTTCTCACAGTTCCTTTTGATTTCTGGATGTAAGTTTACCTAAATGAAATGAATAAAGCAGTTTTAAAACCAGTCTACAAAAGCAGGAGAAGATGAAGCTCTCTGATTTATGGGGGCTCAAAAATCTCTGGATTCTCTGCTGACTTGTGGCAAAGAAAACGTTATTTTAGAAATTTAATGGCAGTATGAGTTCCAAGAGTTATACCAGACAGATTTCCTGTGTAAATGATGATCTGTAATTGTTAAGAATTGTTAGGATGTCATCTATAGCTAATTCAGTGTATCTGACCTTACGTCACAAATGCAGAGAACAGAAATCCGAATAGAAATTGCTAGATGTGGTGATATTTATTGAAAAACATTGATGTATAATGAAGATTGTTTGGCTGTCAGTTTCTGACAAGTCTCTGGTGACAAATCACATTGCTTAAGATGTAAAATGTCTCCCTTGTTTGATATGGCAGTGCTAATATGTGCAACCCCAGACTGCAGCAGTTGGAACCACAGCAGTTTGCCCAAAATGTTCCTCCTTACAAGACTGGTGCTTTCCATTTTGTGAATGTTGTGTATGCACTGTTTTCTGGTGTATCTTCTCTTGTGACAGAGGTGAATGTTCTGGATTTCATCTGACTGTTTCCCCCTAACACTAATTAATATCTGCAGAGCATATTTTCTGTTCTCAGGTTCTTATATGGAAACCTATATTTGTCTCTAAAGGAATTAGAGAGAGGAATAGGAGAAACTGGAGTAACAATGGAATCCAAGATGGCAGAGAACAAAACAAGGGAAGGCAGAAGAAAAAGCAAGGAGCTTTAATGTAAGCAAGCAGTTTAGTTATTTCAGGATAGGAAAATCTGGAGAGGTCTTGAAGGATGAGACAAGAAACAGCGGCAAGGACAAGAATTTAAAAGGCAGAAAAAGAAAAGGGCAACCTAAAAAAAACCCCCCCCCAAAAAAAAAAAAAAACACCTTAGTGGAGAACAGGTGAAAATAAGATGTCCCTAGCAGCCAGAATTGTCTGACTGTGGAGACTCTTTGGGAGGAAGAAAATTGTTATATTATAAGGCATCAAGAAAATGCCAAATGGGTCTTTTCTTTCACCTTTTCAGAATCTCTACACTTTCCCCATTTCAGTCCAACTTACAGGACCAATTACTGCTCTCCTGGAAGTTAATCAGTATGTTTTAATCTATAATTTGTCTATGGTTATTCTCAAGGACCTGAGTCTGGATGTTTGCCTGAGATTCTAAAATTTTAGAAGAAAGAACTGGTTCTTCATCATAAGTAGCTGTGTGTAACAGTCCTTCCTATAAATGAATAAATAAGAAGCCAGAACAGCACAAAGTCAGACTGAAATTTCTTTCAGACAGGAAAGGGAGATTATTTTTCCAGCTTGCGGTATACAGCAGGAAGCTTGAAGATGAGTGGGACAATCAGAGAAGTGATAAGAAATACACAGTCTTAATCATTGTGCATTCCTCTCTTCTGCCCAAAATCACTGAGGAGGTCAGGGGACTTTGTATGTGTCAGTTACTTTGAAATGAAACAATGAAATTTTGAAACTATTGTAAAGTAAGGGATGGGATACTTTTAAAGTATTTCCAGTTCATGTAACTATAGTTCTGGTGATAGCGTAAGAGTAAGCTTTGGGTAGTGGTTGTTTCTAGTAGCAATAATATCAGTTAAAAGAAACTTGATGCAGCTTGTCCAGGTTATCACGTGGCCTTAAAGACTTCTTCCACAGTCCTCAGAAGAAAGTAGTATTTTAACTCTTATGCTGTCATTATGTTACATTGTCTCTTCAGGTTTCATTAGTGCCTAAAGCATTTCTAAGGTAGAAGGCCCTGTTATCTGATTGCATTCTGCTAGAACCTGCCAATGGTAGAATTTGCTCTCAGGGTGACTGTATTGACACACAATTTTTGCCTTGGTGGGAGGTGACAGACGAGGAGGCAGCATACCTTGAAAAGTTAGAACTGAGTTCTAACCTTTTTATCCCATGTTTATATTTAGTCTTGTTCATTACAAATGAAAGAAGCACCTGTCTATTGGTTGGAGTTCAGCTGTGAATGGACGTGGCCTCACAGGAGAAGATAGTGGTGATCATTACACTTGCATATGCGTTTACATGACAGAGATCTCAGAAAAGTCTAAACAAGGAGAGAAGGCCTTATCTCTCCTTTCACAGCATGGTTAAGTCTGCAGAGGGGCCCAGAAACAGCTTTTTGGGCATAGTGTTAATCTTGTCAAGTTTGCGCATCTTTCCAGTTCTTAAGGTCATGTCTACATGGGGCCATACTATGCTGTGGAAAGGTATTCCAGCTTATTTGGCTCTGTGTTCCCATTGCCACTTGTAAAGGCTAGTGGGATTTCTGTACAGAGATAGCCTGAAAGATCAAGCCTAAATTCATCCTGTTTGTAGGAAAATTGTTCCTCTATGTTGAATCTCATTTTGCCCCCTCCAAACCTCGCTGAGAAGAATGATGAAGAGATGAGGCCTGACTCCATACAGATAGAGCAAGTATTTGTTTTCACAAACAGCTTAGCAACAGAAGGTGCATAAATGATGAAAATGTTCTTACTACATGCTAGTTAAATAGGCATTTGAGAACAGAAATGCAGCTGTGCTGCTGTCTGATACAGTGATGGCAGGAATGTCCTGTGCTTTAAGATAATTGCTTTAATTGAAACAGGTGTGCCACAATGCCACAGCAATTTCGCTACTTTGTGATCTTGCTCTAAAGTTTACAAGCAGGCTTTTATAATTTTCGTTTCCATTAGTGAACGTCTCTGAGAAGTAACATGACTTACTTGAAAACATTTTTCCATTATCTGCAAGCAGTTCTAAAGTGCTTTCTGTTGTCCTTCCCACGATGAATCCATTTTGGTTTGCTTCAAGGGATTTGCCTTGCAGAATTCCAGCAACTAAGAGCTAGAGATGCATTTTGAGATACATTTACTGGATGTGTCAGGTGCTCTAACTGGGAAAATCCGTCCTTTTGGGATGGGTGAGAGGCAGTTCATTGTGCTAGAGCCACTGATTAATGCTGAATTAAATATGCCATTTTGTTTCCAAATGTGAAATTGCAGGGGTTGTTAGGAGCGCTAGAGAAACTTTTTCTGTAGTTCCTTGGTATATAATTTTAAGTGATCAGGGAAGGAGTATGAACAGATTAGTGGATATATCTTTGTGAAAAGATTGCATAGGAGCCAAGAGACTAAGTCTTTTGTTTCTGGAGTCTCAGTTTAAGCATTGGAACTAGAGGTGCTTGATATGTATGATCCCCCATTCTCGTCCTGCATACAGCCCAAATGGAAATGAATTTTCCTGAGAGTAGAAGAAAAGTTTTGCAAAACTATGCAAGGATAAGAATCTGGGCCTCTTCCTTCCTTTTCCCATATTCTATTTTTTGTCATTGTGTAATGACTCTTGACTGTATGCAATTTATCTCCTACAGGTTGAAGAGAACGGGGAGAAGGGGAAAGCAGAGGAGGTGCCTTGGGGAAAATGGCCTTTTTTTCAAACCCTAGCAGTTTTCACAGCTGTGAACCTAAGACTCTGCAGACAAAAAGAGTATTTCTGTGGAACAGGAACCTGTGGGAGGAGAATGTGCCATGCATTTGCCTTGGGTGACCTTCTTTCTGGTCAGTGAGACTAGAGGCTTAACATACTGAAACATAATCAGATGAGTATGGTTGACATCTAGAATCTTAATTTCCCTACCATGCCCCTCCTTTCCTCATTTTAAAAAAAAAAAAATTGCTGCTTTTTGGTGTAAGTTAGTTTTGGAAGAGACTAGTGATAATCCTGGACAGTGCAGCCTACTACTCACAAATGAATTAAGGCTGGGCGGATGTCATCCATGCTTATGTTGCCCTATTACGTTGCTTCTAATATATTTCATCAATGCATTAGATGATGAGCAACCATTTCCATTATATGCTTTTCTACTTTCCTTTTGATATCAGTCAAGTGTACTTGTTTTAACAAATTCTTGTTGATGGTCAGTAGCTCATTACATGCTAACAAAATTTACACACTTATTTCTCAAATATTTCTCTGTGCAAGTCTGACATGTTAAATAACCAAACAACCCCACCCAACCATGCCCTACACACAACTGAGGACATCTGTTACAGGAAGAGATAAAAGGATGAATTTTCTTATTTCTCTAGCAGTTGATCCTCTTTGCCCACTTAGAGGGTGGGAGGACAACTTAAATTGAAGGCTAGCTTAGGAAAAAAGCTATTCTTTTATAATTCTTCTCTCTCTGGTTTTATGCTAGTGTCATTGAACTGGTTTCCCCAGAACTTTCTCTGACTTCTACCACTATAATTGTGTGTGTGTGTTGGAGAAGGAGAGTGGAATTCGGAATAAAAGGCCCAATCCTTTTTCCTCTTTCATACTGGTTTTCATCACCAGCTGCTTTCCTTTCTCAGATCAGCTGAAGGAAGCCTCTCTGCTGCAAGTCTAGTAAAAGAAAGGACTTCTGCATTTGTTGCGCTTTCCCATCTTTTTCTGGGTTCTTTGTATACAAATTTCATTTGTCCCCTTCCTTTTTCAACATAGTGTTTGAAAACAATTTGAGTTTTCTCCACACAGATACGAAAAGCTGATGTGACTGGGGCAAGGGTTATGAACTGACTGGTTACTTTCTTGTTAGGGTTGACAGTGACAAGCTTGTTTGAGAGGTAATATGAACACCTGGGAAGCAGGGAGAGCAACAGGGAATGGCATTGTTGTGCTCCAGTGCTCTAACAGGAGAAGGCTGTAGGTGACCTGGAGAAATATGGTGATCCATCATTCTACAAAAACTTACATAAGTATTGGTATTGCAGTGACACTTTTTTACCAAAATTAATCTTAGGCAGATTTTTCTACCTGAGCCTAATTGAAATCGAATTTATTCAGGTCAAGCGAAGTATGTTAATGCTGACTTGCTAGAAACAACTGTAGTAAATGCAGATCTCTAGAAAAGCAGAGCACAGCATTTGAAAACACTAAGCCTTTTAAGGGCAGAGGATAAGTTCATATCTGTGAAGCTGACTTGCTTTTTGTGATCTTATCCAAGACTAGTGTAGCTGTGTGCTTCTTGCTCAGTTCTAAAAGAACAGAATTTAACTTTTATGAGATTGCAAGATCTGTTTAGATTCAGAAGCAGAGGTACATGTTTAAAAGTAGCTACAATCCCCAAATCTTTAATTTTTCCTTTGCTTTCCCAATGTATTTAGTGCATCACAGTTCTTGCATGGAGATTCCTTTCACTTTATAATATGTTTGTTCAGAGTTTTTTCTTCTGTAGTATATCTTATAATTGTTGCCTGAAAAAGGACATTCTTCTGCCTTCCTGTACAAGATCTTGATTCCCACCCACTCACACTAGTCTGCAAAGATACTCTCATCTCTTTTGGTTCTTGTCAGCAGGTCTTTTCAAACAAGGCTTCAGACTGTGTTTCGTGAGACTGTGCTTTTTTGGGCGGCCACACATCAGTAACTAGAGAACAGTTGGCTTGTCAGAAGAGCCCTTTTGTGCTATGGATGATTGCATAAATTCTCTTATTGCTTCTCATCGCTGAACTAATAATACATTTTTATTTCTACCTTTGAGTCAGTTTCCAAGTAGGAGCAGTTGAAGCATGGCTTAATTTTGTCAGGATATGATAGCTTCTATTACACTAACTTCCAAGGGAACAAATTTCATCTTAACTTACATTATATACCAAGTGCAGTAACTTCAAAGAAATATTCAGTGAGCGATGAAAATAATGAAGGAAAACTCTAGCTGAAAAGTTAAGTGTTACTATGTATTCAGCATTGGGTAGTGTTGCACCAAAGTTAGAGTTCAGCTTTTGTTGTTTCACATAATGATACTGTTTTGAAGGCAGAGTTTTAGGTGGACTGTAACTTTCAAGTAAGCCTTTTTTCAAGTATCTACATCTTAGTGGTATTTCTAAGGGAAAGAAAGAAAAAAGCTTAAGGTATGTGGAGTGGAGAGGGGACTTTAACTATTCTTGGGGTAAACTTTGGCTCTGCATTTGAAGTCATGCATGCATTTTAAAATTTTCACTATAATACAGTTTGAGAAGTAACACATAATTCTGCATTCATTCACAACATCCAAGTTAATTAACAGTCTGGAAGGATATCTTGGAAAGTAACAAATCAATGGCAGGAAAAAAGTAAATATAAGCATATAATTCAAAACGAACCCACATTTGGTTTCCCACTTCTAAATCAAAGATAGCAATAGATAATTTAATAGCACTAGTTGTTGTCTGCAAACCAAAAAGCACTGCACCAAATTGTAGTATAAAACCTAGCTCAGTATGAGTCTTTCCTCAATGTTATGACTCTTCCCTCTTTTACAGATAGAGACAAACGAAACATGGCAGCTGCATTTAAAGTTTTGAGATGTATATCTCAGAGCTTTCTTCAATCAAGCTTGGTATTAGATATTTCACTCCCTTTTCTTATACAAATAAAGCATTCTTTTTCACTTCTCATTTGAAAATCAATATTGTAAAAAAGAAATGCAATCGAGCCTTCAATAAACATCTTTAAAATTTTCTCATTCACTCTTAGCTAAGATCAAAGCTGCAGACTTAGGTGTAGAAGCACCATATAGAAAAAGAATTACTGCTACTTTTATCATTTCAAGGCAACTTCCTCACTTTTATCTTTAGAATTTAAGTACTCAAGCCTTGTACTGCCCATTTGCACAAGGGTGGACTTCATGCCTTGTGTATATAGTTTTATTATGATTACTGCATAATGTTAGCTCTTTGCAGATATTTCTGCCTAAAAACCTGCTCATCCATGCCCAACACACAGGGAGTTCTTGAATTATGCCTGAAGGGTCAGATCCAGTGTACTTTCCTACTTCAGGATGTAGGAATGCCTCTTGGGTGCTTCCAGTCTGCACAGGGGTGTGGAGCAGGTGTGCACCATTCTTCCCCAGTCTTCTCCTTTATGTGGAGAGGAAACGCAGCCTCCTAGCCAACAGGGTGCTGTGGTAGACTGCAGCAGATCCCTTTTTGTACAATCAGAAAACCAAGGTTCTCTGAAGCAATAAAAAATGCTTTTAGTCTTCAATTCAAACCTGATTTCAGAACTCAACCTCTTTTATTTTTTCTTGCAATTCTTCTTAGCTATGTCCTTACCCAAGTCCATCTTTAGGGGAAATGAAGCTCAGCATGAATTTATAATGAGGTCTTTTAACTTAAAGACTGAATGTGACCATTTTGTGAGTAACCAAGGCAATCCCAAGTGAGATTAAGATTTTTTTTTTTTTCTTCTCATATACTGTGTCAAGGAACTACTACCCTGTGTATAGCTTTTGGTTACTCAAAAAATATTTTGAGAAGCTGAAAGAGTTCTCACAAGTTCAGAAGGAGCAGTAGGAGTTCTATAAAACCTCTTTCATAGTGAGAAATGTAATAAGCCCAGTTTATGAACTGTAACCAAGACAAAGCTAAGAGTCAATTCATAAGAGTCTGAAGACCTTAGGGAGAGATTTCTGAGGGCAGATAGTTCTTCAGATTTGCAGAAAAACATAAAATGGCGTGCTGTCATTGGAAGTTGAAACTAAACAAATTCAAATGAAATGTAAATGCAAAGATTAGGCAGCCTCTTTAAATCAGTACTTTTAAAGGACCATTGTAGTGCTTCTAGAAATTATGGACCAGAAAGAGAAGTTTGGTAATATCATTTCCTATGATATGGTCAGACTGAAAGATCTTCTGGCCTTGCAACTCTGAATGCCATTTACTCTTTTGAAATTGCACAGACTTCATAGCTTTTTGTCTGGTTTTTCTGTAAGTCTCACAGAGAAAGTGAAGAACAAGATCCTGAAAACAAATAACAGTGCAGCTAAGTTCTGTAGAATCACAAGTAGGTTTCTTATCCTAGTGCCATAAAACACACAATTTTGCTCCAAGTTAAATAAGGAATACAGTACTATTTTTATAATTAAATTTTAGCATTTCAGCAACAGCAGGCATTTTTCAGAATACTTTTCTGCTTTCCCCATGACAAATGTGGCCTTCACTATTCCAAATGTATTTTTGACAAATCACAGTATTTGAGTGTATTATTCACGGTCAGTCATCTTGGAATGTCATCACCCACTACCACATTCAGCACAATCCTGTATGGTTTGCTATGACACAAAACTATGTGGGGTTTTTTTGGTTGGGTGGTGTTTTGTTTTTTTTTTTATTTGAAAGGATGACCATTCCCAAATGTTTGAAAGAAGGCAGCTTTGCTCAAGTGTATTTAGAGACATGTAATGAACTCAAGGGGTTAAGCCATAGCATCCCTATTCTACAGTCTTCAGTTTGCCGTCACCTGGGTAAACTTTGTTTGAAATCTCTCTTGAGTGAAAAAATGAATGAGCAAAGTTTAGAAATTTATTTTAAAAAGAAGGAAGGTCAAATGGCTAAAGCACTAATCCTGGACTCTGGAGGTCTATGTTCAGTTTCTCACTTTGCACCATGGACTCTCTATGGGACCCCTAACAAGCTATTTATCTTCCTTAGCTACCCGAAAGTGCATCCCAGTATCCAGATCTAATGTGTGTTCAAGAAATGTTTTAGGTCTTTGTATGTCCACCATTTCCCTTTTATTTCCTTTTCCTTTGGTATTCTCAAAGAACCACCCTGGCGCATGGCAAGCAAGTGCCAGTTAGTTTGCCTGGCTCGTCAGGAACCTGGGAGATACAGTGGAGTGCAGTGGAAGTGAGGTGCAGCGGCTGCATCTGTTCCCGAGTCTTACTGTTGCCCCACAGGGATATTGTGAGGCTCCCTGTGATTGTGAACTACTCCAGTGGGATTAAACGACCTTGATATTTTGATGTATGTTTGTATTGATCAGCAAATTATGGTTAGTATGGTTTCATACCATCACCCTATTAAAAGCATGAATGAATGTTGCTCTTCTTACTAGCATTGTTTCAAATCTCAAAGAGAAAGCAGAGCTAGAAAAAGCCGTTCTAGATGTATTTTTATCAGATTCATTAAAAAATGTTATTGGAATAAGGACAGTAGAAAAAGACTAACAATAATCTTAATACTGTACTACCAAAATACCCTGAGCGTATCAGTTCTGTTTGTAGTGAAGTCAAATCACGTCCAGTATTCAAATATATATTCTTTATTGCTGTCATTAAAAGCTAACTGTTGCATTTTTAACAGAATTACCCATTCATCAATAATCTGGGAGTAAGAAGAATGTGTGAATGCACTCTGCTTTCAACACTGCAATTTCAGTATTTATTCTTAAATGCTAGTGGAAGGTGTCGTAAACATAGCACGTTCTGAGCTGTTTAGCCAGCATTTTTGTGGATGATCTTTCTGTGCTGGCCTAGAAATAAGGAGATGGTTGTCATTTCAGGCTGATCCTGTCCTGTTTCTTGAGCACCTCAAGGTGTTAAGAGGGGGGAAAAAAACTAACGTTCTGGTTTCTGATATTTAAAATGTGTTCCAAATGGTTTTGAAATGATTTTTAAATGTTTTTTTCTCTTTAGAACATACAAAGGATATTCTCATGATTTATGAACAAGAAGCAGAAGAGTGGGCTCTGTATTTAAAAACTCTTTTCAAACACATAGTGAATGAAGAAGGAATCTTGCTCTACAGCCTCGAGAGTTCTTCTATCAAGCACCTGGAGTTATTCTCTTTATCCTGTTATAAATGTAAAGTGCTGATACTGTCGTGTGGACTTCTTGAAAGTCTGAATCAAAAGAGAAGTTATTTTCTCGAGCAAGTTCTCAAACCTCCAAATAATGTGGTGATTCTGCTTTGCGGGGTAGAGAATTCAGATATTCTCTATGATGTACTGACTTTGGAGAAAGGCAGCAAAGAGATCTCCACTGATCAAGAACCTGAGGAATATCTCTCCATTGTTACTGGAATTATTCAATCAGGTAATCTAAAACCTAAAACTCTTATTCAGATAGTCTTCTAGCTGTATTCATATCCTTTGAAAGGGAAAAAAGTGATAATTTAAATTTTCTGAAGAAATGATCACTCTTCAGCTTGATCCAACAGTTTTAGTATTTTTGATGAGGCATTTACTACTGAAGTCTGAAACTGTTGTGTTCTTAGTCCAGCTTCAGAAGGAAGCAGCTTTGGAAAGTCTAAAAGCTGCTGCTGGCATCACCCTGTCATGGAAGATTAAAGAGCTGAAATACGCTTGTTTCTGTTTCCTGCATTTACAAATCTCAGATATCGTACAAAAATCTGGGTTTATATTTCATCTCTTTCAAAATGCTTTAATGTGACAGTGTATATCTCTCTAGCTAAACCTGGCTGAGTGAAAAATATTTACTGAGTAAGCCCCAGTTTTGTGGATGGCATCATTTCCAGTGTGTCCCACGCAAGCTGTAAGAGCAGAAATTCTCTTTCCTTTTTACAGACTCAAATAAGAAGTCTGTACTAGAAGGTCCAGTTTGTATATCCATGGAAGCAACAAAGAAGCGTTGAAATAAAAATTAGCACTTGCTGAAATGTAAGAAAAGTTTTTCCTGAGGATGAGAGGTACTGAAGTGGCAAAGAGGTCTTGTGCTAATCTGTGCACATGATTAAATTTAATCTGGACGTGCTTTGGTGGACTGCACAAATGTGACTGAGAAATAGTTTTTCAGGCAGGCAGGTGTCTTGGCAACTTTGCAGAAACAGCCTAAGTTATGGACAGGTTTCAGACAGACAGCTGTGTATTTTCCTTTGAGAGCATACGTACTGTTGCTTCTTTGTAGTCCCTAGGTCTCTTGTTTCTCTCAGCTCCTGCTGTTTTGTGTGCTGAGCAGAACATTGTGGTTCTGTCTCTGTTAATCTGCAAGGTGCCACTTTACAGGCAAAGGAGCTTGGTCTTGAGAAGGATATTCTGCAGCTCAGGAGTTTTACTCTGAGATGAACCTGTGTCTGGAAGCATGTTGGATTCAAATGAACAAGCAAGGGTATTCTTTTGAGCACAGGGGTACAGAGACCCCAGCTGAGTCAGTGAGCTATCTGAATGTCCCTGCTGCCTTGTGCTTGAGCTGATAAGCTTAAGCAGGCTGTATTGCTTTCAAACATGCCCTGAATGTCTCTGCAGACATGTGCCCTGACTATGCAGTCTGACTAGTTCAGATCCATGCTTGCAAAACTAAGTTTTACACTCCCCCTTCCCAGCAATCTCTTCTTTTTAACATTTCTTGCTGATCAGTATTTATTAACCTTTTTGACAGCATATCCTTTTCTTCTGAGCATCTCTCAGGGTTTAGGTTTTGGAGCTAATTAAAGTTGTCCAGTTTGGTTTCAGGAGGTAATGATTGCATTTTCTGGCAGTGTCTGATATTTAGCTTCAGAGAAACTCCTGAGCAGCTTTTCAGTGGAATGAAATCAATGGTCTATACTGTGTGTGTGTATAGGAAGGAACTGGACCCAGAGACTGTCTGTTGACTCATGCACAGGAAACTGCAAACTTCTCTAAGATAAACGTTTTCCTGGAAGAAAGATGATGGTTTTTCACTTCACTCTGCGCGGTCACAAAATATTTATTGCATCTGCCTTCAGGATTTTACAGTACATTGTAATGTCAAGCAAACAATAGGTGCTCGAATTATCTTTTCTTTGGCAGTGGCCAGTATCAGCAGCTTCAGAGACAAGTGCAAAAATGAGTTAATGAATAGTTGTCAAAGACGTTGATCTCAGTGTGTACATCTTTGCAAGGCATGCAGACTGCAGCTGAGATCAGACAAGTTCAGATGACTGAACTGGTCCCAGGACTGGGAGTAGTGTTGCTGCCTAGCGCTTGACAGTGTAGGCCCTGCTACATAGAGACATAGAGAGATAAATGCTCTCACCTTGCTATTTTCTGCATTTGTGTGCCCTACCCATCAAGTAGGCCAGCTTAAATAGAGTGCTTGCTAGGAGAGCTCTGCATAGTGCAAGTTTTGCTGTTGCCTGGGTGTAATCTAAACTCTGAGGAATAAAGATGTACATCTCTTATTATTTACCTCTGCTTAAAGGTAAGGATGACTTTTTGCAGTGTCTGTATTTGTGTTACTCTTTTGTTGAGTTCTGTTAAGCTCTTTGCTTTTGTGATATCTGTGGCAGGCATTTTGACAGTTCATGCATTTGGGGAAAATGTTTTTCCTTTGTGTTTAAAATGGCTTGCTAAGGCCGTTATTAAGTATACTTGGCTTATTCCTCCTGTGGCACAATTCTTGTATGCCTTTCCTCAGTACTATACACTCACAAGATTTCTCATCTCTCTTGATATAGGTCATCTTCTTCCACCTCTTTTGTTTTCTGTGCTTATTTGTTGTTCCTGATATTTCTGCTTTTGGAGATGGTGATCAAAACAGTTATGTGTATGTTCTTCATTCTTTTCCTTTCCCTTTCCCTCTTTTTATAAACATTATTCATTACTAATAATTTTTTTTCCTCCATACGTTTATACCTTCATGTGTCCTCAATATTAACAAAGAGCTTTTACTCTACAAGTGTCAGAATTTGTAGAGAAGTGATATGCTTTAATTACAATAATTACATGGCACCATACTGTTACTCTCCACCACAACTAAATTCAGTTCATCCCATAGGACAGCAGGCCCTCAAGGTGCTAGGTCTGATTCCAGGGTTCAGGAACAGCTTGGAATTAGTAAGAACAATGGAAGATGAATGCTAATTCAGGTCATTATCCTACAGACCTGAAGAGTTATTAATGGTGTAGCTTAGGTGCTAGTAAGCACCACTCTCCCACTACAACTTTCTCTGTACACTGCAGTTCCCAGACAAGATAAGTTCTCAGCAATCTCTTCTCTTGACTCTTTGTGCTGTCTGAACAGTCTGAGATGGAAGAGTACATGAGTAAATCCAATTTTATTTCCCTCCTCCCCAATTATTTTTGAACAGCCTCTCACCTACCAAGTGGTGCCAAATTCACCCCTTTGGGGCAGGTGATGCTCTTTATTTGTTGGCACTTCCTTCTACCTCTAAAGCAGTATGTATTCCAAAAATGCTAGTCAAAAACTATTACTAATTAAAATGCTCGGTAAAACCAAACAAAATGCAAGGTGTATGGGTTTTTCTACCCAGTAGAGAGCTTGTTCACCCTGTAGTATTCGAACACAAAGCACAAACAAAGAGTTTGTCATTCCCTCATTGTGCATGTTCTGGGGGGAGCAAATGGGAAATTGAGACATGGAAACTGTCCTTTCTGACATATGTTTCCTCAAAGGTGACAGATTTTATTATATTCCCCATACATGTGAAGAAGAATGCAAATTTTTTTGTTTCTGTCAAGAGGTTCCTTTAACAGGGTGGGTTCACAAAGGCATGTTTACAGCAATACTATCTGAAACTCTTATATTCAGATTTGGTATTGTTTTTCATATTAGTATATTCCACTTTGAGAAAGAGTGGACTATTCAGAAAATTTATTTTTCTATGTTATCATCTAAGATGACCCAGTGTGACTGTAGTTAATTAGCATTCTGACTTTTCTTTGCAGCAGCTTTCTGTGAAAGTAGAATCAGGAGATGTATTTGTTTGCATCAGTCCTTTTTTCCTTTTACTTTCTACTCTTTCAGTCTGAACTGTGCACCGTTTTCTTCTCAAATTGACATACTTTTGATGTATTGAATATCTTCGTTTTTTTAACCTAAACTTGTGTGGTCTTGAAATTGCTTGTAGTTCAAATTCAGGCTGTTCATATATTTAAGCAAGTGATTTGCAGGTATAGACAGACAAAATATTTGCAGCTATGAGTACTTACTTAGCTCTCTGAAGGCCCTAAATTTCTCTTGCAATTATTTGTGCCTCAGCATTGATGATGGAAAAGGAAGACAGATTTTGCAGTTCTAATCTGGTACAGATACATCCCTGTGTCACTATTTCTAAAGTGTACTGACACTTTTATGAGACTCTTTTGTGGGGCTTCTCTGTTCCAGAGGAGGAACCTTAGTATCCGTTAGTCTGCTTAGTGTTTTGTTAGGTTTGATTTGTGTTTGCACAGCTCACAGAAAAATTAAGAATTCCTGTCACTTCTACCTCTGACCTCGTCTCTAAAAAATGGCAGGATCTTTTTGCCATGACATGAAGAGAATCTACTGCTATAAAAATGGGCAGCTAAGAACTGCTCAACAAATATCTGCTATTATATTGAAAACTGGAAATAGGTACATTAAGTAAGATAACACAAACAGAAAACTGCATCCACAGTCCTTGACAACCCAGGAAGGATTCTCAGAAGGAATACGAATCTTTTGCCTGAGACAACAATATGCCATTAATTTCTGATAACTAAAAAGTATTCAGTATGCCAGCACACAATTTTAACCACCGAAAAGAGTGATCTTTAAGAAAAGGTGGTTTTGCGACTACTAGTAAGGCATAGCTCTGGAGTAATGAGATACCAGCATTTTGTATTTGTCCCTTAATTAGTACATATAGGACCAATAAACTGAGAGTTTAAAATGGGGCTTAACATATGTAATAAGTCCTTAGCCCGCTTCAAATATGACTGCCATTGTGCAGGTCACAGAAAAGAGAAATGAACCAATGTATTCTTACCATAAACCTTTATGGTATCAGTTTCCTGACTTTTCTGATACGTTTCTGGCACATTGGTGTTGATGTTGGTATTATACCAGGGATGAATTTGGGTATAATGTTTGAATAACAAAATAATACTTCACATTTTGGATCCACTGTTTCATTTATTCTCCTGTAAAATCCTCTTTTGCACTGATACTCAAATGTTAGTAAGTAATGAAAATAAGAATTTTCTTACACTGTCAGCAGGACTTGTGCTAATGAGCGAAAAGCCTGATTTAAGTGAGAACTTGCCCACTGGCTTCAATGTGCAAATATTTCACCTCAGTTTTGACAATAACTTGGAGGCTGCAAAGAAATGAAGGCAAAGCGCTAAAAAAGAACCAGAGGTCAAGAGGAGACAGAAAATGCTGCAGATTTTTTGTATGTTTTTCATTAATACTGAATATGATGAGATACGTGTGCAGTTTTTCCTTTTAGAATGTTGAACTAAAGCCTAGTTTGTATTTTTCATGCGAACACATGAGGTAGAGTAAATAGAGAGAAGTGAGAAGGTGGTTCTGGCCTTACTCACTGCTAGCAGAGGGTGGGTACAGTGGATGAGGCGCAATTGTGTCCTTCTCCTCTCCACTCAACACATTTAGATTTGGACAGTGGTTATTGCTGTTGGTGCTTTAAGACAGTAAAGTCATCTGCTCACAGAGGAGCATCTCAAATGGCGATTAAACTTCCTTATAAATTCATCCAGATTGTTTTGGTTTTAATCACTAGCAAAAGGGGCTTTTGGATAGCTGAAGTATACTATAGGTTAGTTCTTTTTCCCATTTTGCCCTGCCAATGAGCGTCTGAACTGCTTTGCAGAGACTTCGATATGATTTCCGGATTAAGCAGTCTTCCTGACATGTTGTGTTTCTCCATCTCCACACGTACTGATTGCAAGGGCACCAATGCAGTGGCAGAATTTTCTTTGTAATGAGGACAGCTGTCAATGAAAAAATGTGATTAGTGTTACAAGCTTCTTTCATATGGCACCTGATCCTGGGTATTTCTAACCAGAAGTGAAACTAAACTGGCAGCCTGGAGGTGGCAACCATAGGTAGGCTCTTGAGAGTGCCATCTCCTGCTAGTTAAACAGCTTAATTTCTCTCTTCTTTTCTTAATCCACAAAATCCAGAGAAGACTTTTCATCATGTGATTGGATTTTTTAACATTTCATATTTTTATCTGTCTAGCCAGTCATGGTGATCTGTACTCCTGCATATTGAAGTATGCATCATGTATGTGATGTTTATCTCTCTCTTTTTTTTTTTTTTAAGACACTAATTGGATGAAAATTGCTTACACCTGGAAAAGTGAATGCCCTGACATCTTAAAAGTGAATGTCTTTTAATGGCATTTAGGACAAGTTTCTAACGAGCTTTATTAATGCTATAAGTCAAATGAATAGAAGGTAAAATTAGTACATGCTGTAGGACTGATGTTTGATTAATGTGCAGTGATTTTTAGTGTTGTTTATGTAGCTTATACTTATTTTCAAAAAGAATGACTGGTTTTATTGCCATTACTCTATTTTTTCAAGGTTGCAAGTGGGCATTATCAAAGTTGTCTTGTTTACAGTCATCAGTCAGTATTTATTTGCAGTTGTAAGGCCCATAAATAACTGAAGTTTAGATTTCCAGCAGGTATTTTGGAGCTAGAGCTATAAAATGGCTATGTGAATCTGCAGTCATACATGTCCTTCATATAAGGTATTACTTACAGACTCTTGTCTGGTTTTATATTATGGTTAACTATGATAATTGTTGAAAAATTATTATTGCAAGGCATCTATAGAATCCTCTGGAAGTGCATTCTTTGTATATGCTTTGGTACACAAGTGTTACTGTAACACAAGTGATATTTGTAATTTGACCATGATGTATTTCTGCTAACCCAGAGTCAGCCTCTTAGAAATGAGATAAAGCAAGGGTCATTATGTTTTCCTAAAGAAAAGAATTGTAATACCCATCTCTGCATAAAAGAATTGGAATACTTATTTAAATTCATATTGAAGAAAATCAGTATTAGGATAGCAAAAAACCCAACTTTTTTGTATAAAATCAGATTTTGATCTTGATGGGATTTCTCTGTACTTATGTAAATGGCTCTGAGGACAGAGTTTGGTCCAGAAAATGTTAATAAAATTACAAAATTAAGTGTTCAAAAGTAAGAAAGTAACAGATATAAAGTAGCCTATTAGGATTTAATTAGGCCCCTTGTTCATATGCATTGATTGCCTTTAATTATGTGAGTGCATCCTTCCCCCCTCTGCCCAAGAACCTGGCCTCATTAGTACACAGGATAAGTAGTACTCAGTTAATTAGCAGTTATATGATACTTTGTTTTGTGTTTGAGTTTGTGGTCACATTAATTATATATTGAATGCCATTCAATTCCTGTTGAGAAAACAATTATTAATTTCCTAATGTATTTTTCTGTATAACTCACTTCGGTAATATCCAAGTGCTATCCAAACATTAGTTGATTTGATCACCATTTTATGTATTAGTACTTAGGAAGATTAAGGTGAAGCATTTCTATTACTTCTACTACCACTTTGAAGCATGACTTTTCAGAACACTTACCAGTATATAGTACTTTTTATGTCCGTATCCAAACTCCCGTTAATTTCAGTTGCAGTTGTGACTGGTCAGATGTGTGCAGGTTAGCTGTGAAGTCTTAAGCTGGTCGTTCACAGAAAATGCAATACCCAACTAAGGAGCACTTCTGAAAAGCATGTTTTAAAAGGCTTGCCAGCAGGTTGCCTAGAAATTCCAGGATGGGAACAGAGAATGACAAATTCTCCAGAGCAGCAGTCAGCGAATATCGCTGCCCTTTCTGTCTCTGGAATCCCCTTCTCATTCACTGAACCCCTGTTGTTAAAAGAATAAATGGGTCAGAATATGGTAGACAGCAGCTTCTTTTAGTACAAAACCACAAGTCGGTACCAGAGTAGGGTCTATCTTGTTGACTGTTTCTTTGAACTGGATCTGTACTGTGGATAGTACACAATTTACTCAAAAGGAGAAAAGTAATTTTTGAGTGTTTGGTTTTATGCAGCCTTACTAAGGTCACTGTAAAGCAGTCATTTTCTCAGGTTCCTCTCCTCAGGCTTCTCACCCCACCCTTCGTCTCTTTACCCAGTTACTCTTACTGTTAAGTCTTAATCCTGTGTCATTCAATTCTAGAGCATTCAGCGTCATACATACGATCCTGGTCGGGATTCTGCAAATGCTGTAGAGTAGGATTTCTGCTGAGTTTGCTGGATCTCACAGTATGGAGACCGAGCAGGCCTTCTCTCTCTCATGCTATTGTTACCAGATGTGGATAGAAAGTCTCCTGGTGCTTACTAGCCCATCAAAATCTTCTGAACAAATCTGAATTGACAGAAGGTTTTTTCAGTATTTGACCAGCACTTTGCATAATGTGGTCATGGCATTTTTGATTCAGGAATAGGAACACTGCGGACAGATTTATTGTATTGTGGAACACAGTCCTGCACAGCTGTTCTGTCTTCCAAAGCCCAGTCTCATCCATTTTCAGTTTCTCACGTTCTTACATGTGGTCCTATTCTCTTTTCTTTTGCCCAACTTCTCTCTCTTTGTCTGCTATGTTGACCTTCAGGGAAACTTTCTCACAGGCTCAAGCCTACATTTCTTATCTGCTGTAGTAAATTGGCAAGATTAGTTGCAGTTAACTTTACTGAAAAGGAGTAGTCTTATCCCTCTCCATGCCCCCTCGTCCCCCCCTCCCCTTTTTTTTTTTTTAATCTGTGAAACTATATCTTTAAAACAGCTTTGTCTTATGTCTAAAATATTATCCAGAATCTCATTTAAAACAATGAAAATGGGTGTCCAGATATTTCCTTATTTCTGAGGTACTGGGTTGTTTGTTCATTTGTTTTCTTAACTCCACTCTACTTTGCCGAATCTTAGATTTTAGATTTTTTTTTTTAGTTTGATTTCTGATGTTGAGATCTTCCTAAGAGCAAACTGAAGATTCTGAGAAATATTCTAGTAGGATAGTGATGGTCACTATTATCAGAGTTGATAACCATTGAAAGTTATTTCCAAGGAGATACCCATTAAAGAATTATTCTTTTTTCCTAGGTAAACCACAGAATGAAAACTTTGAAGACTCCCTGTCTTATGTATATGAGGCAGTTCTTACAGATGGTGAGTTTGAATTTCCCTTGCATTTACTAGAATAAAGCCAGTACTCTTCAGAAAATTAAATTTGTTTTCTTACATCTTGTCAGACATGAAAGGCAATAAACTAACCTTACCTTAGCTGTGTAGAGGAACATGCCTTGTTCTCAAACATCCACCCACGCATCCACAACCCACGTGTTCTTGTGAGGAGTGCAAAAAAGGGAAGAGCTCTGACAGGGACATTTCCTTTTTCCTTGAATTTCAGAGTACAGAAAAAGGAAGACATGGAAAGCTTTCTTTTTCTGTTCCCATCATACTTGTAGTAGAAAGGGCGCTGATATGAGATTTCAGGTAGAAAAATCCTACTTGCATTACATTTTGCAGCATCACTCAGAAGCAGCCAGAGTTTGGCTGGGAGAAGCCCTACATCCAGACTTCAGCTCCTGTCGGCATTTGTCATTCTGGGTTATTTACATTTGTGAAAGCCCATGAGGAGTCACATTAGGGAAAAGGGAAGGACAAAATCTCCATTTGTTTTTAGCAAAGAGCCACATAACATGTTTCATATCCCTAATTCTAACTGAAACAACTCTAGGCTGACCCAAAGTTAGGCACCTTTGTGAAGTCACTGGCCCAACACCACCAGTTTGCTGACTGATGAAGAAGACTTTGAGACTGACTAAGTGTTCTTGGGGAATTCTTGGCTTATCAGTTTTGCGCTGCTGGACTTTGGCTGCAGAGCCAGTAGCCTCGTGTTTTACTGGCTAGGTGTTAAAGCAAAAGGATGCTGCAAGCTCATTGGCTCTTCTTTACTGAGACGTATTCAATATACATGTCAGTGGTGCATGGCGTTTAGAATTTTAACTTGAGTTATTGTCAAGATAGAGGCATCAACCTTTGTACTTTTGAAGGAACTATCCAAATCATTCCCACTTACCATGCTTTTATTCACAACGCGGAACAGTCTTGGAATTATGGAATATGGATTGGATTCTTCTCATATGAAACTAAAATGGCAAGCATGTTCAAGGAGCTCGCTGGATTCACTTCAAACACTAATAGGTGTGCAGTCCACAGGCCCAGACTAGAACTAAGCCCCTCTGAAATGTGTATGGTGTGGAAGTGGGTACTAAGCAGCAACAACTCTACTAAATCTTTTCCTGTTAGTCCTCCCTCATTCCCAGCCGAGACTGTTTATGACCTTCTTAGCATCTCAGGCTTACCAATGTGATCTCAAGCAGAAAGCTCCTGTAAAGCTGCACTATTTTATCCCCGCAGAACTTTTGTCAAGGTTTCCAAGGATGTGTCTCTCAGTCCTGTGTTGAATGTGCCATGGTTCAGTGCCTTCAACAAGTCTGCTAGTATAAAGGAGGGTTTTGTTCATTTCTGGCTCATTCTCTATTTGCACAAAAAGCTGACATCACTGTTCCTCTCATTCATGATCATGATGTCCATAAAAGAGATAGTAAAAGAAGGAATGATTACGGAAAACAGAGAAGCCCAAGAAAAGAAAGAGGAGGTGAGAGATGAGATGTTCCCCAAGTTAATCCCCCTTTAAAAACTGACTCTTTGTTCGTATGAATCCCTCTCTCCTTTTGTATGGTGACTTGAAGAGCAGCTGAATGGCTGATGTTAGTATAAAATGAATCTATGATTTTCTAACTAAGAAAGTATTGCATTGAAAGAGAAAATTTCACTTGAACTTTGCTGGAGTTGCCTTTTGGACCACATTTCTAAGTTGGGTTTTAGGAGTCATCTTGATAGCACTGGTTATGTTGAAGCACTCGAGAAGGAGAGGTCTGAAAATCTGTCCTTTCCACTGTAAACTCACCTTCATTCTCACCACTTAGGAGACTGATGTACCATGCCAGTAAAGTCAGTGTCATGCAATTTTTGCATTCCTAATACAACCTTCCTCCTGCTGGTGGCTGAGTAGCCGTAGGGCATTTCAAGTAGATACTATGTAATCACAATTGTAGCCTCTACTGGCTAATGATGTCCAGGAATGGCTAAGAGGACCAAAGAGATTCTCAGCTTCCGTAATGAGTGACAGGGCTAACTAGAGAAAAGGGATTTCCCGTAGCAATCTCTTACATGTGAGGAGAAGAATGATTCCTGACAGACTGTAAGGAAATAAGAGGTCAAGATTTCTTCTGTGGTGGTGTAACGCTGTAGAATGGGATGTATCCACGAGTGCTGAGAGAGCTGGCAGGTGTTATTGCTAGGCCACTCTCCATCATCTCTGAAAGGTCAAGGAGAACAGGAGAGGTGCCTGAGGACTGGAAGAAAGCAAACCTCACCCCAGTCTTCAAGAAGGACTAGAAGGAGGAGCCAGGAAACTACAGGCCTGTCAGCCTCACCTCCATCCCGGGAAAGGTGATGGAACAGCTCCTCCTGGAGGTCATCACTAAGCATCTGGAGGACAAGAAGGTGATCAGGAGGAGTCAGCATGGATTCACCAAAGGGAAATCATGCTTGACCAATCTGACAGCCTTCTCTGATGGAACGACTGGCTGGGTAGATGAGGGCAGAGCAGTGGATGTTGTCCGCCTGGACTTCAGCAAGGCTTTGGACACTGTCTCCCATCACATCCTCCTAGGTAAACTCGGGAAGTGTGGGTTGCGTGAGTGGACAGTGAGGTGGATTGAGAACTGGCTGGATGGCCAAGCTCAGAGGGTTGTGGTGAATGGCGCAGAGTCAAGTTGGAGGCCTGTAGCTAGCGGTGTCCCCCAGGGGTCAGTCCTGGGTCCAGTCTTGTTCAATGCATTCATCAATGACCTGGAGGAAGGGACAGAGTGCACCCTCAGCAAGTTGGCTGGTGATACTAAGCTGGGAATAACCCCAGGCACCAGTCCAGGCTGGGGGTTGACCCGCTGCAAAGTAGCTCTGCCGAGAAGGACCTGGGAGTGCTGGTGGACAGCAAGTTAAGCAGGAGGCAGCCAATGTGCCCTTGTGGCCAAGAAGGCCAAGGGTATGCTGGGGTGCATTAGGCAGAGTGTTGCCAGCAGGTGGAGGGAGGTGATCCTGCCCCTCTCCTCAGCCCTGGGGAGGCCTCACCTGGAGCACTGTGTCCAGTTCTGGGCTCCCCAGTACAAGAGAGACGTGGCACTCCTGGAGAGAGTCCAGCGGAGGGCTCCAAAGATGAGGAGGGGACTGGAGCATCTCTCCTATGAGGAAAGGCTGCGAGAGCTGGGCCTGTGTAGCCTGGAGAAGAGAAGACTGAGAGGCGATCTCATCAACGTGTACAAGTATCTGAATGGGGGGTGTGGAGAGGATGGGGCCAGTCTCTTCTCCGTGGTGCCCAGCGACAGGACGAGAGGCAACGGGCACAAACAGAACCACAGGCAGTTCCATCTGAACCTGAGAAAAAACTTCTTCACTGTGAGGGTGACAGAGCACCGGCACAGGTTGCCCAGAGAGGTAGTGGAGTCTCCTTCGCTGGAGAGATTCAAAACCCGCCTGGATGTGATCCTGGGCAATATGCTCTAGAGGTCCCTGCTTGAGCAGGGAGGTTGGACTAGGTGATCTCCAGAGGTCCCTTCCAACCTCAGCCATTCTGTGATTCTGTGAATAATCCTAGAATAATCCAATTACCACTAAAAACCTTTGGAGGGGACAGTACCCCAAGAATTGAAATGGTTGTAATTTCCGAGATGCATTAAGTCATCCTTTTAGAAGCCAAGAAAGGTAAGATAGCGGCTGCAAATGAAACAGTGTTTGTACCTCGTGGAAAATAGGTGAATCTTCAGGCTAACCAGATGAGTTTGGCTTTGGATGAATTTTGAAAAATGTATCCAGTATTTTCTTCTATCTAATAAAAGGAGAGTGTATACAGTGCTAAATTGCATATATGGCACAAAGCAGAAGTGTCAGTATCACAGGAGAAATTACAAACCAAGGAAGGATTTTTGCTAGAACCCTATAAACTCACAAAACAACAGCATTTTGGATAGGGCCTTAAGTGGAGATTGCCATGCTGAATGTCTGTTTTGGATGTACAGATATTGCATAAAAGAAGGGACAAGCCGAGCGAAGATGGAATTTAGACTTCAACTGGAGTGAAATTGAACAGATCAGAAGTATAAAGCCTAAATGAGAAATCTAAAGCAGCAAGGGTGGAAAGAGCAGCAAGTGGCTGACAAGACAAATGAGGGGAAAAAAAACCAAAACCCAACCCCAAACAATATATCCAATAACACAAAGATAGATGAGGAATGAGCAAGCACTAACAATCAATAAGAAGTGATTGACTAAAGTGAATTGTGCAAGGCCCTGAGGGAAAAGGTCAGAGTACACTGGAAAATGGAAAAACAATATGATACGTGAGACCCTTTGGGGAAATATGAGCTACAAGCAGATGTGAAAACAATTGATTTGCTAGTACCTGTGAATTGATGAAAAGATCCAGTTGTGGAATGCTAATCACCATAATGCAAATTTATGAGGACTCATTCCTGTAGGTGGTAACTAAACAAGTCAGTTCTTGTAGCTATTCACAAATGTTCTTATGTGTTTACTTTATTTCAAGTTTATTTCTGTATTAGAAAAGTAGACTTATTTTTTATTACAAGAGAGATGTATTTTGAGAAGTTCGCTTGTGGTTCCTCAGGAAGTTTTCTGCTCCCCAAAGAAGCATTATTTATAATTTGTACTAAGGTTGGAAAAGTGAAGCAATCTGACTAGGATCTGGATATACAGCTTTGCAGCCTTATAATCACATAGCTAAAAATGTGAATGCCTTATTGTTGAATTATTTTTCATTATTTTGCCTGCAAACTCTATCTAACCTCAAATTAAAATACCCATTAGGTGTCATCAGACAAACTATTTCCGTTCGGTAGTATAGCTTTGTCTTCTTTAACATTTGCGATTAAGGCTCATATCCAGGCTCTAATTAACTGAATCAATTAGGGGCAGGCAAGCTGGGCACAACACGATGATGTTAATATATAGTAGTTGCCTGCCTATTAATTAATAACAGCAGACATCTTTTGATCCTGCTCAGAGGTCTTGTGAAACTAGCT